CCCTCCACCCCCAGCCCATCCAGCCTTGGGGGGGGGGCAACAGGCGACCCCCACTGCATCCAACCTTGGGGACCTCCCCCCCCCCGTACTGTCCACAGTCCAGAGCAAAGGGGGGCACCCACACCCCCCAGCAGCACCCAGGGGTGCTCAGCACGAAGCCCCCCCCGCCTTTACCTGTGCGCCCCAGCGGGCGTTGCAGCATCACCGTCGGGTCCCCGGGGCGCCCTGGGGGTGGGGGGGTCCCCGGGGGGCCGCTTGTCGCGCCGGGGGATCCTGGGGCTGGGTGCGGGGGGGCCCTTGTGCGGGGAGGCGCGCGGCTGCGCCAGGCGATGGGCTGCGGGCAGAGCGCCCCGCGTCACCGGGGGGCTGCCCCGTGACCCCCCCCCGCCCCGCGTCCCCGGGGGGCTGCCCCGTGACCCCCCCCGCCCCGCGTCACCGGGGGTCCCCCGCTCACCGAGCGCCGCGCAGCGACACGGGTCGTGCTTGTCCAGGTAGTGCTCCAGCGTGTCCCAGCCGCCGCCGACGCGCACCATGACGTGGCTGCGCAGCACCTGGCGGCGGGGGGGACAGCCCCGTCACCCTGCGCGGGCCGGGCACGCGCACCGCGGCGGGGTGGCGTTACGGAGCCGGGATCCCATGGGGAGGGAGCCCCCAGCCCCAGCAGCCCCCAGGTCCCAGCTTGGCTCTCCCTGGGTTTAATGGCACCAATTGCCCCGGCACGTTGGTCCCAGCGTTCCGCCACCGAAACGCATTGATCGATGCATGGATGGGATGCATGGACCAATGGATGCACACACGGATGCATGCAGGGATGCATGGACAGATGGCTGCATGCATGGCTGCATGGATGGATGCAGGAGCCCTTGGCGGGGGAAAGGGGGTGATTCCCGAAGGGGCAGGGCCCCTCGGCAGCGCTGCCTCCTACCCGCACGAAGATGAGCGCGTTGGAGTCTCCCACTTGGTACTTGCCCTCGGAGACTTTGACCATGGGGAACTGCGAGGGGCAGGTGCAGCAGCCCAGGATCTCACGGACCTGGGGAGAGAGCGGCCGGGATGGGCGGGAGCCCCTCAGGAACCCGCAGGAACGGCGGGGGGACCCCGGTTTTCCTGCCCCCCGGCTCCTGCACGGACATGTCCGGAGCCGGGTACAGTGTGGGGGCCGGGAGGGTGGGACTGGCAGGGAGCCCCCCCCACCCCACGGGCCTGGCAAAGCTGCAGCATTCCCAGGCGGAAGTGCCGGGAAGGGCCCGGCTCCCGCAGCRCTGCCGGGCCCTGCGGAGCCTTCCCGTGCGTGCGGAGCGGCCCTTCCCTTCCCACCGCCGTCCCCGCGCGGGCTGAGACCGGGCACAGCTCGCGGCACCCGCCGGCTGCTGCCCTCCCCGCAGGCCCGGGAGCCCCTGGGACCCCTGTGCCTGTGTGGGGGACACAGGGGACACCACGGAGCCACCCCTGAGCCCCCAACACAGAGACACTGCAGGGACCTCCAGGGCTGAGACCTCGGCCTTCCTCCTCCTCCTCCTCCTCCTCCTCCTCCTCTCCCAGCCCCCTCCCCCCAGGCTCTATATTTGGGCGGCTTCACTTCACTTCCCAGGAAAACAAAAAAAAACAGCCGCCGGATGACGTCATGGATTACGCAGCGCTGTCTGCGGCCGCGGGGCGGGGGGATCCCGGGACACGGGCCGGACACCACGGGGATGGGCGGGGGGGAGGGCATCTCCCGGCCGGGACGGGACCCCCTTGTCCCCCTTGTTCCCCGCCTTGTCCCCACCAGCTCCGGCTCTTCCCCTTCCCAGCGCTTCCTGCTGGCAGCCGGGCAGGATCCGGCCCYGCACGTCCCAGCCCAGGGGCCCCGCAGGAGCCCAACGGAGCCGGGGGGAAACTGAGGCCGAGGGAGGAGGTCAGAGGCAGGGGACGGGGAGGCCGGGGCGGGGGGCGAGTTTGGCCCTGCCGCGGGGAGCAGGAGGCCGCGGGAGCGCTCCGCATGCCGGCTCCATCCCGGCACCCGGATCCCAGCCCACCCCGAGCTCCCGGCTCGGAGCCGCCGCTCCGGTGCCGGAAGGGGCAGCGTTTCCGCCGGCGCGGGCGCATTCCCGGGTCGTGTCCGGCCGCGCAGGCCCCTCCCCGGCCCCGAGGATGCCCGTAAAAGCCCAACGCCGGGAATTGCGCAGCCCGGAAAAATGCGGCCGGCGGCTGCGGCACCGGGCGGCCTGGGGCAGGTGGAGAGCCGGAGTTCAGCCCCCTCCAGCAGGGAGGTGTTCCCGTCCCGCCGTGCCGCCCCGCTGCCAGCCAGGGACTTAGGGCTGGGATCAGCGAAAGGGTTTGAATTAAATAATAATAACAAAAAAAGGCGGCTTTGGGATTAGGGAGTCAGGGCAGGGCAGGGCCCCCCCGGGCGCGCTGTGTCCTCGGGCCCGGCCGCCGCGTTAATCCTGGCGCAGGCGGCCGATCCCGATGCCAATCCCGCGCGCCGCTAATCCCCCCGCGCCGGGAGCTCCGGCTGCGCACGGAGGCGTCCGGCCGCGCCGCGCCCCAGCCCGCGGCTCCGGGCCTGGCCGCTCGCTCCGGCCTTTTCCGCTTCCCTGGAAAAGCCTCCCCGCCCTTCCCGCTTCCCACGGGCCTCTCCATCCCCAGGGGCAGCTGCGGGTGCCCGGAGCCCCTCTTGTCCTGGTGCTGGTCCCCAATGTGCCCGAGTGCCCTGGCTGCCGTCCCCGCGGTGGCTCCCCCCGGCCCCGGAGCTTGCCAAGGACCACAAGCCACCGTCACTGCCGAGGTGCCCTGTGATTACGGCCTCTGCCACCAAAATAACCCATCCCACAAGATCGGGCGGCTCCCGGAGGCACCGAGAGCCCCGCGGGGTGGGCAGAGGCCTCCCGTGGGGCCCCGTGCCCAAGGTCACCCCAGAGAGCATCTCACCAGCTCGTCCAGGTTCTTCAGGTCACACAGGGAGATGCGCTGCGTCCTGCTGGGGTGGACCGGAGACTCCGAGTGCAGGTGGTGCCTTTCCCGTCGCATGTCCAGCACCCCATAGGTGATTTGGTCCCTCATCTCCTCCTCGATCTCCTCCTCCATCTGGATGAGCATGGGCGCCAGCATCCCAAACTTGGAGCCCCTCCTGGCCACCTCCAGCAAGCACAGGACAAAGTTCTTCTCGTTCTTCTTCAGCACCAAGTCATTGGTTTCAAACATGAGGACATCCTGGATGCCGAGGTCCTGCCGGCACCACCGGATGAAGTTGGAGATGTTATCCCTGGCAATGAAGGAGCCGGGCAGCGCGTTCCTGGCCTGGAAGACGACCTCGTTGCGGGGGACGCGCATGCGGGCGGCGGCCTCGGGGTGCTGCTGCTGGAACTCCAGGGCGATGCGGTTGACGTTGTTGGCGTGTTGGCAGAGGTCGTAGCCTGTCTCCAGGGTCTCCATGAAGTTGTCGACGTGGATGTCCAGGTCGTAGAGGGTGTTGAACCACTCGGCGAGGTCCTCCTTCATGGCGTAGAGGTACTCCTCGCTGGAGCGGAACGGGCGGATGCTCTTGGAGGCGGCGCTCTGGATGCTGCTCTGGTCGGCCATGGCGAGCGGCTCCCTGCTGCCCTCCGGCCTTTGGGATGAAGGTCACGGAGATGTCAGGGACGGACACGGGAGGGCTGACCCCGCCGGGCTGCTGCCCCGGCCCTGCTGGCCCCGAGGGGTCTGGCGAGGAGCAGAACGTGCTCCGGGATCAGACCCTGCTCCAGAACCAGGCCCTGCTCCGGGATGAGCCCCCCTGTGCCTCAGCTCTCCCCACTCCTGGCGGCCAGCAGAGCCGGTCCCACCTCCCCAGCCTTCTCCCGGCGGGACCTGCCAGCTCCCACCTGGGGTTAACGAGCCCYGTGTCACCACTGTCCCCCAGGCATGTCCCCCCCCCCCCATGAAGCCCTGGCCTCTGTCACCACCACGGGGGTCACCCGGAGGTGTCAGGGCGGCTGCCTGACGGGGATGGGGAGACTCCCGAGGGGTGGCCGGGCTACGAGCCCGGTGTCCCCACGAGCCCCCACACGGCCGCCCGCCTGGTGAAGGTGACGGTGGCTCTGGGGGGCACTGTCCCCAGCTGGTGGCCTCCACCCAGACCCGTTGCCACCGGGACCCTCTGTCCAAGGGGGTCTCTTTCCTGGAGGGAGCCCCGGAGCTCTGGGGGGGCTCTTGGGACCCCGGGGGGGGGGGCTCTGGCAGAGGGGCCCTGTCTGTCCTGGGAAGGAAGGGTTACCCCTATGGGGGGCAGGGGGCTCTGCCGGGGGAGGGGGCTCTGTCCTGCTGTCCTGGCAGGGCGGTCTGTCCCGGGAGGAGGGGCTGTCTCAGACAATCTCTCTGTGCAGGGGGGTCTTGGGCCCAGGAGATCCCTGCTCGGGGCGGGGGGCGAGGGGGGGTCTCTGTCCCAGGGGTTCTCTTCTAGGGGAAGGGGGTCTCTGCCAGGGGGGGTCTCTATCCTAGGGGGTCTCTGCCGGGGCAGGGGGAGGTGTCTCTGTCCCGGGGCTCCGAGCCAGGGTCCGTCCCGGGGGTCTGTCCCGGGGGTCTGTCCCGGGGCTCCGTGCCGGGCTCTGTGCCGGGGTGCGTGCGGCGGGCGCAGGGAAGTGCGTTGGTGCGGGCGGGAAGCGAAGGGGGTTGGGAGCGCTCAGCACCTGCGAGGCAGATGGGCGCTGGGCGGGCGGCTCTGGGGACCCCCACGCGGGGACCCCCACGCGCGGGGGCCCCGGGACGAGGCGCCCCCCCC